GCTGGGGAGGGGATGGGGGGGTGCTGCGGGGCTGGAGGGCCCGGGGGTGCTGCGGGGCAGGGCAGGGCAGCTGGGTGCTGTGGGGCTGGATCCAGTGGGGCTGAGGGCTTTTTGCTGTCGGTATGGGCGGCCTTTGCGTGATGGGCCCGGGTGCCAGAGGGCGTCTTGTCGCTGTGGGGCTGGGTGCTGCTGGACTGGGGGAGCTGGGCGCCACTGGACGGTGCCACAGGGCCGGGTCTGGGCGGCGGGGGTAGGGCCAAACCTAAGGTTCCCCCGCCCTGGGCTCTGATGTTTCCTGTGCTGGTGGTTGCTGTCCCACCCCCGTGGGCTCAGTGCCCCACTGGGACGTGGGGAGGGCCATGGGCATGGTGACACCTGGAGCCCCGGTGCCTGACTGGGCCCAGGAGGGTGCGTGGCTCTGCTGGAGCCTCATCCCTGTGGCTGTGCCTCTGCCTGCAGGCCTGGGGACAGCCCGGGGTCCTGCCCTGGGGCAGGCTGGCTGCCTCCCCTGGGGGCTGCCTGCTCAGTGGCTGCCGGCTGTTGTAGGTGAGGAAACCTCTCTGAGAGGCAGGGAGGTGCTGTATGTTTGGAGGGGAGGGCTGACCCCAAGACCTGCTGCTGGCTGCAGTATTTTGTCTTTTACCACACTGAAAACACGGGGACAGGTGCCACCTAAAGGCTGCACTTGTTGCTCCACTTCGCACCTCATGTATTTCAGAGGAAACCTCTTGGCAGAGTCAAGGGGAAATGTGGAGAAGGGGGTGGGTGGCACTGGAGTTTGTGTATCCCACCTTTTCCTTATGGGAAACCTGGTCAGGAGCCATGCCCATAACCTGGGGTGGGCTGGTGGGTCTGGTCTCCTCGTGTCCAGCTGCTCCCAGTCTTGGGGTCAGCCCCATGCTCATCTGGCAGAGCAGAGGGAAGCCCGTGGCTCCTTTGGACAGCCCATCTGGATGCTGCAGCTCCTGCCCTTACCCTCCCTGCTGCTCCCCAAGGGCTGTGCAGTGGGCATGGCAGCACAGGGAGCCGGTCCCTGCTGGACAGGCTCTGCAGTGTGGCACCATCACCTGGCACAGCACTTGGCCCAGGCTCAGAACATGCCTTGGCAGGACCCCGGGGCAGCCTCGCTGCTTAATATTGATGGGCCCTGCCTGCATGGAGGCCTGGGGGTCCTAACCCCGCAGATCATTTTCCTGGCTGCTGGGCCAGCTCGGGTTCCTCTTCACTCCCAGCACAGCTCTCAGGTGGGATGAGGGGCTCAGTGGGCAGGGGAGCACTTCACAGCATCGCCTCTGCCTGGTGCTGGCCCCGGGCTGCTCCTTTGCCAGCACATGGTGTTGTCTGAGGTGGATCCAGGCGAGGGAAAGTGGGGGAAAGCTCTTGTGGGGCTGTGAGGTTGGGAAAAGGTGCGGGGTGGCCTCTGCAGCTTGGTCCAGAGGTTGAGGTGAAGGGAAGTAGCATCCAGGCCCTGCTTTTTGGGGGCGAGGAGAGGACTAGGGCAGGAGGATTAATCCTGGCTCAGCTTCTCTGCTTACATCTTGTGTGAGTCCCCCCATTCCCGAACCTGTTGGGAAGGACTGGACCTGGGACTGTCCCTGGAACTGGCCCAGCATCCTGCGTGCTCGTGCCTTCTCTGGTTTCCTCCGAGTCAGACTCTCCATGTCGCTCCCCCGGCCCCCTCCCCGCTGGGAAAGATGAGATGGGACCAGAGCGTGTCTGAGCCCAGACGCCAAGGGGCCTGTGCCCCCCACTCCACACAGGGCGCCGTTCCAGTGATAGTGCTCCTGCAGCCTCCAGGAGTCTGGGCTCGGCTCCCCCTCTGCATCCCTCTGTGGGGCAAAGGAGAGGCCCCTGCCCTGCTGAGCAGGCAGGGGTCCAGCAGAGCCAGTGCAGGGAGCTGCGCGACCGGCATCAGCGTGTCTGGGACGGGAGACCCGGAGACCCTTCCTGAGGGGCAGCCAGGCAGTGGGGTGGCCTGCCCACGCTGAGCTCCTCTCCCCGCAGGCGTGGCGTGGCAGGGGTGAGGGGCCGG